TTGGTAGATGACATTGAGTTGTATACCCAAGTGCAAAGCAATCACTCAATGTCGGGAAGGCTGAATGCATTAGTAGCTTCAACAACTACATAAACTAGTGAATATAGGACAAAGAAAATAACTTTTGTCTGATATCTATCAAGATTTTCATTTGTTTCGACCGGTTTTGGTTTGTTAAACAATTTCCATTTGAACTGACGCGTCAGTTCACTTGAAAATTCTACCGAACTGCTTTTTATCAATTTTCTTCAAAATAACAAAATTTGGTTCACTCAAAATGTTCTATCCTTCAAATTAATTGTCCGACAACTGTGAAATTTGTACACGTATCTTTTGAAGATCTGTTGTCATAATCTCGTTGGATGGAACATCTTTTTCTATTCTCTTTCGTTCTGGTGAGGAAAATGAGTTTCCGATAGAGTTATGAATATTATTTACCGGCTGGGATATCTATCTTCACCAAGAGATTTGTTATGAGATTGCGTGGTACTTGGAATTAAATGGTCAACGGATCTTGCTTTATATACCCCCGACTATGGGTATCCCCACCCATACAAGGAAGGCTTCAACTACTTCACAAAGTTGCAGTTCAATGGCTTCTTCGGGTGTGTAAAGACGTTGATGTCGAATATTCCATAGTGCTCCAAATTGTTCTGGTATGTGTTGAAATGCTCACAATTACTTTGGAATGTGCTAGAAGGTAAAACTTCTAGCACACCCTTCAAGTAGGAATGAAAACCTTCTTCTAGGAAGAATAGTAAATCATTTATTTCATGGCGATTTCCTCAACTTACGCAACAAATTTACAACAACTCGAAATACCTACCCGTTATCGGATTTCCTTAATTTTCGCACATATTTCCCACAAGAGGTCACGTGATAACATACGATTTCACGGTATGTAAATTCGCGGCAATTGAAACAATACGTCAAATACAGTGTTTGTAAACTCCCGCCAGTAAATGTGGCTGATAATTGCGTATGAGGTGATTATGAGAAGATAATCATTATATTATTAGCTCAGTGTGCCATAAAATATGTTTGTTTGGTGGAAATGGAATTATATATTCTTCTTGAAAAGTGATAATGTTTTGCCTTATTTGAATACGAGAGAACTAGTAGTTCCGATAGCTCAACGAGACAGGCCAACCAGCCAATCAAAACGCACCAATTTGTCACAGATATGATAGTCAGTTCTACCATATTTTTCAAATACATTTATAATGGGAAATATTCAGTCGATCAAAGAATGTGCAGTCCTCTGACTTCGGCGGTGGCAAACATTTTCATGGAAAATTTCGAACAACGGGCCTTAGAGCAATCGGCTGTGAAACCATATCGTTGGCTGCTTCATGTTGATGACACGTTTGTTGTATGGAATTCTGGTAAAGAGACACTAAACTATTCACAATGGAAAGAGAAACCCAAGAGTATCTAGCCTTCTTGGATGTTCTGGTTAACAGACGTGAAGATGGTACATTGGGCCACAGAGTGTACAGGAAACTATCACAGACAGACAGGTACCTAAACAAAAACTCCAATCACCAGCTACAGTGACAAAGAGGGGTAATTGAAATGTTGGTTGAGGAGCACGACGTATTTGTGAGCATGAGAGTCTTCCTGAGGAACTCAGTAACCTGAAAAAGTCTTCAAAGAGAAAAGGTACATCGCCAAAGTAACCCCAGCTTAACGAATCAAGGAAAAAGCTTTTCTTCGATATGTCAAGAATGCTACAGACCGAATTTTGAGAATCTTAGAGAAACACGACGTGAAACCAATATTCAGGTCAACAAAAACTATCAGACGAAGTCCAAGGTCAACTAATGACCCCAGGGAACCTTCAGCAACACCCGGAGTATACCGGATTTCTTGTAGCTGCAGGCCGGTCGACTTTGAAACCACGAAAAGAAGTATAGGTAGAAGTATAGAAACCAATAAATCAGCTGTAACTGAACAAAAAAGGCACCCACATTATCTCATTTAATATCTTCCTTCAAACTATCTAAAAGTATATAGAGAGGCAATATAAATTCAGAAACACAGGGATAATTTCAATTGAAAAGAAGAGGCAATGAACATCGATATAATCTGGCTATCTGTCCCTAAAATGTATATAAACAAGGTCAGGTAATCCAATTAGGAAAAACCAAGCCACGACTACTTATAATAATCCAGAACTAGAGTCAAGTATCAACACCAATTTGGGCACTTCAACCGTTACCATATATCGCCTTTCAAAATGTTTACTGCAGTAGTAGACGAAACGTCAGGCACAAAAATCTGCAGACCACGGTTAAAAACCCAGAAAATAGCTTTCCAGATTAGTTATCTGCTATTATTATATTCAGGAACGGATCTTACTCAATGAACTTTTTCTAGATGCTATATAGAATATTGAACTGAAATCATAGGGAAAATCCACCTGGCCTAAATATCGATCTGGTAAGGAACTAATGCACTAATTACAATAATTTACTCCCTAATCTAATCTCATGTAGAATAATCTAGTGAGTGGAAACGAACCGAGTTCCATGGAGCAGGAATCATCTCGAACGTGCCTAAATTAGAACAGCAATTTCAGGCATAACAACCGCTTAATTGTGTGTGAACCTACTATGGGGATTCTTGATGCCACAAAGTTGTTGATCCTGGAATAATATAGAGAGTGCTTCCAGGCAGTTTTCAGGAACATGAATCGACATTATTCATTTTCGAATCTCAAATTCAGATATCTGAAATCATCTTCAATCCGGAATTCCTGCGCTATTAAGTTCGTAAGAAACGAACGCCAAGAGGATAGGTAATTGAATATTTGCTAGACTGACAGACGAAAAGTAAACAAACAAAAGATGAACTTTAGTTGTATTGATGCCTCTGTTCTAGTAAACACTGCCGTAGAATGTAAAAAAACCCAATCACTAAGCATGCTTCAGCAACAGTTCTTTGTTTTCAACAAAATTCGTTTGTGAATATATGATCAGCAGCCAACAAAGTATTTTTTTGGATTATGTTACATGATTTCTATACCAACAACTCAACGTTATCAGTGGAGTAATTCGTTGGTGATGAATTTCATGAAGAAACTTCTCCAATTCGCAATATTCAACAGTAAAACACAATGTTTGTAAGTAACGTTGATTTGGTACGAAGTAAACGAATACAACTTATCTTCACTTGAGTGTCAAATAACGACGAAACAAAAAAGAGCATAACTCAAAAAATTGCTCTCTGGATGTTTCACCAAATTCGTATTACTTTTCAAGAGGTTTACAAGAGAAGTAGACCCCAAATATTGTTTTTATCCTAGTGGTATATTTCGATCACTACTAAAATGTACAGGGTATCCATCCAGTCAGTTGATATCAGGGAAACATAATCAAATTTTTGAAATTTCGATAACGGAGTTCCCCAATGAAACGTGTTGGTGTTGTTTGTAATATATATGAACGAACGTTTTAACAAAGAACTTTGGAAAACAAGCTGAGAATAAAGCTATTGAATGATTACCTCGAACAATCCCAGAAAAAACTGGTACTGGTTCAGCAACAGCAAATTCACTCGGTTGATGGACGATATGATGGAATAGAGTTCCCAGAGAGAGATTTAAGAATCTTGCCTCAAAATTTTCGAATAAACTGAGACGTTCACGATTCAAACTGTTTCTGAAGAAAAACACAGTGAATGCAAAAATTTACAAATTCACCAACGGGAGTGAAATTATTGAAATTTGTCATGAAACATATATCAGAAACTCTTCTACTGAACTGTTTCGATTTTCAGACGAGTTCATGTCATTTTCAGTTGAAAAGATGTAACTTATCCCAAACATTATGTGGATTTCAATAGTTATGAGTATAACCCATCTTTTTCATTGACTGATATTTTCTATTTCTTATGTTCTTTCATCATTGTCCATAGTAATACATTATAAACTGTTCCTCTCATGTTCTGTTTCAACTGAAGTATTGTCTTTTTTGTAGTTTTTTCCATTCCTCTATAGATTTTATCAACCTATTGACTGACTCACTGCAAATATAAAGAAAGAAGTTACCTTGTTGGTGATTTTTGACACACAAAAGCATTTCCATTTTGTATGGTATATCTGACGTGTTTTCCATTGTTCTCCATCAATCTAATTGTTTGATGATTTGATAATACTGGGTTTTTTGTAAAGTCACTACGGAATTTGAATATAAAAAAGTAACACCAACTATAACTCAAGGCCGTCTAGGACTCCAGACCATTTAGGTTGGGTTAGGTTCGATCCAAAGTGAGTGGCTCTATTAGATTCTCCACCGCAACCCGCAAGGGTTTATTGTGGCTCACACCTATTCACACCAAACGAACCTAGCTTCTTAACAAAGCCGATAGTTTGTATGGTGAGTGGTCGTTCAGGTCAGACGGTAAGAGTACGGCTCTGCCGAATTCTAAAAACCTGATTCGGTCCCCAGCAGGGCAGGCATAAAGTATGTGCTCTGCTGTTTCAATATTTTCCAAACAGAGGCGACACACACTGTCTTCTGAGAGTCCGAATCTCTGCATATGATGATTCAAATGACAGTGACCTGTAAGAAGGCCTGTTGGACATCGTTGTTCATCTCTACTGTAGTTCAACAACTGTTTGGTTTCAAGCTTCGAAGGGTGAATAAACGCCTTGGAGTGAGCGTGAGCCAATCTTGGAAGATTCTGCCAGAAGTCTATAAATCTTCTTGCTATCCAGTTGTTCAATGTTTGTGTGGCAAAGCCTGAAGTGATGATAGGTTCTGTTCCGATGAAGCTGCTTGATGATGCTTACTTAGATAGCGAAACGTAATTCAAGTTACCATACAGAGTCAGTGTACATTTTACACTAGAGATTTCAATTCCACCTATAAAAACATAATTTCATTCTGAATAATCAACTACGAATTCTAATGTTTCACATCCAGACAAGGGAAGGAACCCTTTGATTCATTATGTTTTAGAAATTTGACACTAACTCATATTTTCTTTTTTTTCAGGATATTTTTGGCACATCACTGATATACATTATGACGGACATGTGATATTCCATGGAGATGCCAGAAAAGGTATTTAATTTTCAACTTTACTATACTGATATTTCAAACTGATTTACACTTGTGGTGAATTTAAAGGAAGTCAACTTATTTAACATTTCGATGATATATCAGACGAAACTAGATTCCATCATCCCTTTCTTGTGGAGGAACTAATCAGAAAGATTACGATTGTAAAGAAGGCTCAAAGATGGTTACAAAGAGTTTGACTCGAGCAGACAATTTCACTTTGAAAATTCGAATAGTTAGCGTTAGCAATTCACATGCGATACCCAATAATATATTGCTCAATTCAGCATTATGTGTTGGTGCAAACCAGTATTAACTTGAGTGTGAACATTGAAAATAACAAGAAAAAAAGATTGGTTACAGATAGATGAGAAGTGTGTGAATTGTCTTGTGGTTCATGTCCGATGTTCAACATGGGTCAAACTGGAAGAGCATTTGAAGCACATATGAAAGAACACGAATAGTTTCCAGAATGAAAAAATGAGTTCAGCATGAACTACTACCTTCTTAGAAAAGTTCATGAGTTGAACCATGAATTCGAAACTTTCTCTGGAAAGTATGAAAATCAATAAGTATAAAAATTAACAACTCCTAATGAGCAATGAAAGTGAATTGTTTATTGAGACACACCAGAACAAAATTGCTGTCTCTAGAAGTAGTTATTTGAATCGTGCTTGGAAAATCTGTTGGTGGGATGAAATGTGCCAAGCCACTTGAACACCTCCCGTGAAAGTATATATAAAAGAGGGGCAAATCTCCAATCCAATAGAGACAAGCGTGTTGTCGTCAGCAGAGCAATGTATTGGACTCATGATGATAAGAATGAAATGTTTCAATGAGTTTAAAATGTGTTAAAATATATTTCAGCTAAAAGAGGTCTAGGCATCTCCTCTTCTCTTTCCAATTCTGGATTATTCATTTGCTGCATATGAATTTTTCTGCTGAATACCCCGATTTCATTGTGAAAATGTGAAGTTTTTTCGTCTATTGAAGTTCAGTTGTAACTTTCGTATTCTTAATGTAACCATTTCACCTCCTTCTCAGCGAACAATTTCATTCAGTTATTTTTGTTTGTTAGTTTTGAGCACGATTATGTTTTGTTGTCCTAGTTCTTGTTTTCTACTTTAAGAAAAACGTTTTGAGAGCATTATGTGTGCTCAACTCAGAGGAGTTTGTTGTCTTTTCAATTTCCATAGTGCATTATGTATGCAGCCCTACAATGAATTTCCTTTCAATAGAGTGTGGAATAAATAACAGAACTTTCTAATCTCCACTACAATCAAATCACTTGTCGTATATATTCATTGCTAAACTTGAACTTGTCAGTTTCGAAAGATATCTAGTTGTGAACATGAATTATGGAGTAGAAAATTATACCATGGACGATATAATTGAAAGGACGTCATTACCACCATGTACAATTATATCAGTCCCGTAATACATTACCGACTATACGAAAGTACAATCAATCTTGAAGTTATTACTTCCGCTGTTATTATTCCAGAAAAGATATGAAATGGGTGTTTGAATCAGTACTGAAACTTTTCGATAATTACTACCCATGACAGGGAAAGGATAACATATAATTGAAACGAATTCATCAAACGACAATATTCTTATGATGACAATATCAATAATGTATTGCACAAAGACCCTTGTTGATATTGACAATTCAAATATTTTGATATAGCTTTTCCTTCAAGACAATACTCAATATATTCAGAATATCCAAAATAAAATCAAGTCTACAGCCATGAATAGAAATCAATTGCAAAATAAAATTATTTTCTTAATAAATGTTACCACTTTTATATGTAACTATCCTTACTGCAAGGGGTTTTATTGTCATTCGAATACCGCTCTGCGTAATATGAACGCGATGTAGAGAAAGATGATAGATGAGCTCACCAAAGTGGAGATGGAAGAAGTAGAAACACACGGTTTATGTCAACCGTCAGGCATTTGCTAAGAAAATGTAATATGGAGTCTAGTTACCAAAAAGAAACTTTTGGTCGTGGTTTTAATTTATCTTACTTGGCCTAACATTTATATGTTCTAGTGGGAGAAGTCATTTTTTCAATTTGGAAATGTTATTTGAGTTGGTTTCAAATTATTTTTTTCCGCACAGTAAAGATTTTTTGAACTACGCCATTTTTTTCTATACTTTCAGCAAAAAAATTTAATTACCTAAATCTTGACCATCGGATCTAAACTAAATCATTACTATTTATTTTGGCGATGGAGCACATTTAAAATAATGGTGAAAGAACTCGGCGAACAAATTTTGGCGAAGGAACAACTTTTGAATTATTGGTGAAAGATCCGACAGTCAGTTTTGGCGAAGGCGCCTCATGCGAAGTAATGGCGAAAGCGCTCGTGATAAAATTTGGCGAATGCGCATTGTTTGAAATTATGGCGAAGGAGCTGTTTGTTGAATTTTGGCGAAAGTTGATGTGTTTGATGTAATGGCGAAAGAACATTTTGATGCACCAAACCATAATAAAGAATACACAAATATTCGAATTTTGTCAGAATGGTAGTTTCCAAAAATGAAGGATTGTATGAGTATATAATATTCTAATAAAATTTTTGAAAAATTTTCATTTGCTATTTTGTTGTCTAGCGATTATTATGATTTAAAAATGTTATTCTTCTTTCCTTACCCAAGGATAGCGTTTTCAGGCTATCACTTTTCACACTCAGGGGTCGATCAGGGTGACTTTACATAGAACAGGTATACCGCAAAAAAGAGGATTTGAGAGATGGGCACATGTGCAGATCTAGTCTCGTCTACATCTTCAGGTTACAATCGTTCAGAAATTTCATTTGTGGTTTGTTCCTGATATTTAGTCTCATGGTTTTATTCAGAGATACTTTGGTAAGTAGATCCTTGACCTACCAATGTATCAACGTCATGTGTGTTAAGTGTTTTAAATTTTCTACTACTAGTTTCTCACAAAATGCTTTCCATTGTCAGAAATTCGCCTCGAAAATTGAAGCATGCAACCAAATATATCAACTATTGGTCTTTGGGGTGAACTACAGGAGTTTCGGTGTTTACGGTGATAAAAACAAGCTATTCGCAGGACACTTTTGGAATGAGTTTCTAGTGTTTTACTAATACTCTGTGATCATATTATGAACGAAAAATCTTAATAGTGAACCCATTACAGATTTTGTGAATTTACCTTTCGAAAATTAATGAGTCTGATCCGTAATTATTCTAATCGGTGTATTAGTTATTGGAAAAATATTGAATAGTATGAGGTAACAGCCGAAAAAACACTACTAGCAGCTTATGAACATACAACAATTCATATTTTTTCTTATATCTAGGAAAAATTAGACTCACAAACCTTGTTGCCAGCAAATATTTTGTTTGCCAAATAATACTTCTCAGTATTTATCCTACGGAAATAACTCAAAAAATATATTTTAATGGAAATCACTGGTTATTGAGGGTAAGAGCTCTAACTTCAATCTTATGTTGAACGAAATTCAATGAAAACTTGTCGATTACGTTATTTCACTCCACTCTCAATATCTTCAGGTATGTTTTCATAACAAATATTTCATTTCATTACATCGGTCTCAACATTCAGAATCCAATTCCATCAGATTTATGATCAATTTTGTGAAATCCAGATGAAATGCGAAAGATATAAGGAAAACTTTATGTCCAATAAATATGCAAACTCTTATCTAGTTTTCCCATTTCGAATCTCATCGGCATTTACTGACTATTTTATGGGATTTTCATTATTCAGGATGTTGTTTTGANTAAAATCCAATTTCGAATAATTATAAAAATGAACCTACGAGTCTGATTAGGAAATAGAGAGGATAATCAGAAATTTACAAAAACACTTCGGACATTTGTGCAAGACATTTCAAAAAACTTAAGCAAAATTACGAAATGAAAATCAATTCTGGTAAGAATATAACCGAGCCAAAACAAATTGCAAAAGAATTCAACAGAAAATCACAAGCAAGGAGAAAGAATATAGACTGGAAATTATGGATTTGACTAAAACAAAAAATTGAAATCACTAATATTACTAGAAACCTACCATTCGAAATGATAATAACTACTTAATGGAGTCATTGGTATATATATTGAATAGGTATATGAAATTCATATATAGGTCTTCAGCATCTACAATTGATCTGCTCTCTCTGAAACGTTGTTAATATTCTTCAATTTTTCCCTGTATATTTCCAGCTGATTATGGTTGCTATTGTGTGTGATGAAAGTGCTATTATTCTGTAGTTATTTCAATTTATTGTTTTTAATTTTTCGAATATTATGATTATTCAGTGTCCTATTGACTATTGCATTTATAATGTTTGTCAAAAGTTCATCATCCTCATGTTTGATTAATTCTTTAATAATGTTTTGTCAGCCGAGTACTTCTTGTTTTTTCAATTTTTTGATAACTCGTATATTATTTGTATATGACTTTCTGACTTCCGCGTTTTTCATCTCCTATGACACACAATATCTCCATATATCATGAAAAATGTAATATACATAAAAAATAATCCACGTCAATATGGAAGTTTTGAAAATGTGCACGACAATACTAGGCATAAAATTGATTTGAGTATAAACTACTGCCGCCTAAAAATATGTCAAGATTTTACAATAAATTACCATAGAAAATAAGATCTCTACCAAATAACATATTTAAAATGAGAATAACATATTTTTATAGAGAAACGCCTTCTTCAGCACCGAAGAATTCCTGCACTGTGATATAAGTTCCTTAACCATATAGGCATTCGTCGTTGTTTTATAATACCCAATTTTAAATTTTAATGCTTTGTTTTCAAATAACTCAGATGTAAATGAAATGTAATTAGATATGAATATTTTTTATGAAAATACTTTGTTCTATGAATTGTTCTGTGGATATTAATAGATGCCTGAAATATACTAGTTTTATCAATATGTATGTATTGTATCTATCTATTTATCTATCTATCCATCCATCCATCCATCCATCCATCCATCCATCCATCCATCCATCCATCCATCCATCCATCCATCCATCCATCCATCCATCCATCCATCCATCCATCCATCCATCCATCCATCCATCCATCCATCCATCCATCCATCCATCCATCCATCCATCCATCCATCCATCCATCCAGCTTTGCTGAAGGCTCTTCGATTTTGGGATAGAAGTGTTGACTGTGGCTGTTATTCTTTTCCTTCTGCTATTCTTCCACCATATGGTTATTATTTATTTTCCACAAATCGAATATACATTGAAATTGGCAATCCATCACGAAAATGTATTTTTCTTGTATTGAGACTTTTCCATTTGTTTTCAGGTTGCTGGCGACCTGATTATGAAGGTATCAAAAGCAAAGCTTCAAGGAGACACATGGGTCGTTAACAAATGTAGAGAGCAGATTTTGAACGAGTGAAATATATTCATTTATGATAAAAAACATGCCTATTTTGACCAATGAATTCAGAGGAATCGAATTGTAGTGAAAATTTACCAAAAAAAAAACATGGTTTACAAATATTTTACTTGCTGACATAAAATCCAATTTCGAATAATTATAAAAATGAACCTACGAGTCTGATTAGGAAATAGAGAGAATAATCAGAAATATACAAAAAACACTTTAGACATTTGTGCAAGACATTTCAAAAAACTTCAGCAAAATTACGAAATGAAAATCAATTCTGGTAAGAATATAACCGAGCCAAAACAAATTGCGAAAGAATTCAACAGAAAATCACAAGCAAGGAGAAAAATCAAAAGCAAAGCTTCAAGGAGACACATGGGTCGTTATGGAGACTACAGTTGTGATTCGACGTGGGAGCTGATAGAGTCAGCTGCACAAACTATGATGGGGCGCCACAACGATAATGTGGAGTTTGTTCTCTGGACAGGGTGAGAATTATACTTTATAGGAAAACTGTCTAAGTTCCTCATACATATGAAAATCTATGAAATTTTGATATCAGAAGTAATCAATATAATACTCTGAATATTGCCAGTCAGTCAGATGATAGCTTGTTAGTTAGTGATATGTACTCTTCGAACATTCCCTATTGTAAATTTTGGTTAAATCCCAAATTACGAACGATGCATATCTCCGATCCGTGCTAGGTATCTCACTCAGAAAGGTGTAACCCTGTTAATCCTTAGCGAACACAAGTTAGGAATTTGGAGACCACAGCTAATTAACGGTGAAACCAATTGCGTTGATACTTCTGCAACAATTTTATTTCATTGATTCCGACATAATTCATACCGCAAAGTATTTATTATCACTTTTTTGAATTCACATGCAAATTTTTCAATATTTGATGGTCATCATGATTCAATTCACTGAATCTAATGGTACAAAAAATTATTTCCTTTGATGAACACCCTATGAAGGTGCCAAATTTCTATTACCAAACAATGATCCATTCGAAACCACCAGTGACAGATCCAACTCTTAAATTTCTCTGTTCCTAAAACAACTGTCATACAATTTTCATTAGAAGTTCAGTACTGAGAAAATCGATTCCTTTCGCACTTCAACAAGCTAAAAAATCGCGTAACAAAAGTTCACACACAAAACAAGTCTGTTCAACCGATGCCAAAACACAAAACTCGAGAAGATTGGTTTTCCAGTTCGAGTCGGTTTTTTGATCTGTTAACCCCATAACAGTAAGAAAACCAATTACACAGCCACTCTCCGAGAGTTTTCCGAAAAAACTCTACCGAATTACGAGAAAAACATTCCAACAAGATTCTCCTGAGAATAAATTAGGAAAATCGAAACAACCATCAAACTTTGAAGTTACTTTGCGAATCTCCAACATGCAATTTATGGCAAATGAAAAACAAATGGAGAACTTCCATTCCCAAACTCCCAACAAATACGTTGAACGCGGAAAACTTTTCATCGATGGATGGATGCGAATAAAACATTTGACACGGTGAGCCCAGAAAAGGATTCTGTAAGGAATGACAGTTCGTGTTTTATTAAAGGATCAAAATCTCAGTCGGGATATCTAGGAATATTGTCATGCAAAGTTAGGTATATTATACGTGACTTTCTGCATGTATGATGGAGAGTGCTCATGCTTCGGTCTTTGTAACCGGATACTGTTTGATATCTGGGATAAGATCGATATTGGGCGCAGGTTGGAATCCCTGCAGTGGACACGAGAAGCGACCGTGATTAAAGTGAACGTCGCTGCGTCTTTTCGTTTTTGTTTCGAAGCAAGAGCAATGCAGATGGAATTTGCTCATTATAGCAGATTGGGGAAATACCCGACATTCCACACGATATTTACTTCAAAACACGTTGAGGTAGATATTCATCAGTGCGGCTTCTTCCAGAAGTTGTCTTCTGGCCGTGGTCTGCAGGTTTTTATGCTCGACGTTTCGTCAACCACTGTGGGAGACATTATATATAATATCATATAAAAAAGCAATACAAATGAAAAGTTGAAAAAATTGCTGTAAATAGCAATTATATTGAGCAAAGAATCCCTGAAATGAAATCACAGTGAACTGAAATACAAGTGAAATATAGAACAATTAAAGAAAAAATGAAAATAAAAAATTGAGAGATTTCAAGCCAAGTTACTTCACGACTTTTCGATTGTTGGTATCCAAAATCGTCTTCGGGTGATGAATGAAGTCCAGTCATCACCCGAAGACGATTCTGGAATAAGAATCGTCAGAGCAATTGAAACCGTTGAATTTTTGACTAGATTCATTTAAATGAAGTTGAGAAAAATTTGGAAGTGGAATAGGCTTAGAAAGAAAAGAGGTTTTTTTCTTTGAAATGTACACTGTGTTCGAAATATTGTTGAATGGATGAAAGTGATTAGGAAATATTAACTATGATGACCAACAAAAACAACACAAAAATCAAATCGTTTTCTTTGTGACAAACTATCTTTGAGTTTACCAAATCAATATTTTCATATTGTACTCTATATTGAGATAATTGCTAAAGACTGAGAGGAGTATGACGTACCTGTATGAGGTGATGAGAGTATATGAGAGAAACGCAACCATTCAGGGCCTAGCTTTTGAGTGCAGGGAAACTGGTAGAGATGAAGTTGACATTTAAAGAGTTTTTTTCCATTAAGGTATTACTTAAACGATTAAAAATGAGTCTGGCCTGAAAAGTAATAGTACCCACATAAAAACCCCCAAACGAAATTCTCAAACAGTGAATCTGAACTAAATATGTATTAAATTTTAATTTCGTTGTACCGCAAAATTCTGTTACTATTATTGTATTTAATATTCGTGTTTGGGCAGTTTACTATTACTCCACTGATTTGATGATCTATTTTACTATTCGTAGTAATCATAGTATATTTTTTTCAGATTTTTCAAACACACTATTACATGTTTTTACACGGTAGAGAAACAGATTCAATGCTTTGGCAGCAAATTTGTCACTTCGCTAATTATTTGAACAAATAAAAATTTTTTTCATGTCGTTCATAATATACCTCCGGACGAAATGATCCACTTCAGAACCATCTGCTCCCAGAACTTTCCATTCAATTTAATTCCCGGTAATCGTTCTGCAAGGCTTTTTTAATTTGCATTTATCGAAGCGTAATAATTTCTATTACCCTCCATTTCCATCGAACAAAATCCATTGTTTCTGTATTTTCAGCGATGGCTTGTCACACACAGTGCGACATCTTCCAGATTTCCGTCAAATGGAACTCCTGCAAAACCTCACCGATCTACTGGGAAAGACATTCAGTTCGCAGTTCGTCTTTCCGGCCCTGGGGCACGACGATCCCTTCCTGAGGGAAGGGTTGGGCAGGATGTGGTCCCGGTGGCTGCCAACAGATTCCATGAAGACCTTCGAGGCCGGTAAGCGATTCATGTGATAGTATATATAAGGTGTTCATTCCTATGTTAACAAAACTGATGGTGCCATATTTGAATTGCCTGAGAACTAAACTCAATATAATACAATTTTATTTGGCCGTAACGTATTTCCAAGAGAGTTGAGAACCGTGACATCCAAACTTGATGTTTATATAAGTCGAAAGCGGATTGTGGGCTTCTAGATACGAGTTATACTATTTTAATGTTGTTTTCATTCTCAAGCAATGGCGCCAGTGTATAAAAAACACAAGAATGATACCACATCTCATTCACCGTTAGTAATATGTCAGTCTCCACCAGTGTCCTCAAATCCTGCTCTGGATTACTGTAGGTTGAATTGAATCCTCTCTACAGGGTCCATTGAGATTTTGGGGGAAGTACACAGAATATTTTAGAAATTTGTTTGATTTTAGAAATTTGTTTATATTAAGGAGGTTACGTAGAGCGCCATCTGCCCGCGAATAGATCATGCAATAATGTCGATAATTCTGTCAGATACAGATCCCGAGCATTCATACGGAAATAAATATGAAATGAAAAGGAGAGTTAAAAACAAACAAACATACATACATACATACATACAGGTGAAACTAATTAAAGGGTGATAACAAATTCATTAAAATACTCAGGTTGACCCCCTCTGTATTATCTTGGATATGAATATATCGGTTTAACATTGATTTCATTCGTTCATTTCACCCATGCGAGCAGGAATTTGTCAATTTGACTGTATTTTTCATTTCAGCAGATCATTTTCAACATGAATTCCTATCAAATGTTCAGCAATAGAATGGAAACTGATCAGCTATATTGTATTCCATTATTTCAATCTTGAAGAAATAGATATTTAAATAACTCCGAAACTAAGGGACGCAGTAGGTTTTTGTTTAACATTTCGTTTTTAATCGAAATATCGAATAGAAATATCCTTAATTTGAATCTCTTACAGCCAGAGGAAAGGAACAAAAGAAAAATGCCATCTGACGACAACTCAAATGGAAAATATAATCTGTTACTCTCATTTCATCCCTCCTTCTTCCCACTGAGTTTAATTCAACTTTTTTCGAATTACTGAAATTAAAATGAAATACTCCTCCGAATGGGCCTTTACGTTGGAAAACAGAGATGCGTTACCTACAGGTTTTTCAGTAGATATTAAAATTCTCCTTTGAACATATTTTATATAGGTTGACAATTCCATATATTCGTGAATTCATGAAGCCATATTTCATCAGAATTTGAGCGTTTTTTATGTTCATCATATTTTAATCAGAGTTCTTTCATGCATTCCCAGAAATGAAAAGGGAAATTTCTATAGCGGCTATCCAATGGAAGAAATAAAGAAGTGGAATGCTGTGCTTACTTCTGTGCATGAATATTCTATTAATTTTGATTGTCTTACAGCAAAATTGCTGCTGTGTAATATTTTCTAGTAGATTCAACAAATTGAACATATTTCATCAACTGAAATGTAAGTAGACGATTTGGCAAAAACAGAAAGCTTCTTTTCAAACATCAATAGATGAAAATATGCATGTTGACATCGTTATTTCAAAACTGAAGGAACTCTAGCAGGGCCCACATTTTGTGACACAGAGTTACAACAAAAATTGAATATGTTGTTTGTTATTTTGGAGTTTGATTTTTTTATTTATTCTTTTCTTCCATAGAATTATGATAAGATCTTGTTCCTGGACAATTTCAGTTGAATAATGTGGGGGAAGTGATATTATACAGATTCCTGGTGGGAATTTATTCCGCAACCCCTAATTGATTTTCTCTTGTCTGAAAGCGAATAATAACGATGAGGTGAGCTCAAAGACCGAATTCAAATCTACGTGAAAATGAATTCAAATCATATTTTCTGCACAAACGTCATTTCGTCTCATTCGTTGAATTTACGACAGATTTCATATTCCATGAAAGCCGGTACGTTTTATTTTCTTTCCATCGCTCATAAATATGACAAAGGCATCACGGAAAAATGTGTTGGAAGTGGAGATTTCTCGTATTGATAGCCATTGAGAATTTTAAATTGAAATGGTCCGACACTGCAGATGTTCTGACGCGATGGAGAAATTTATTACTTCTCTCTACATCATCGCTATTTCACGATTGGCAATTACTTTCAATTTGATCATTTCTGAAGATGCTGCAATTTTAGGATTTTTCTTTGATAGCGGTATAAGACGAGTTCACATTCAATTTTGAGGTTAATAGAAGTTGATCAGATGAATTCCCATTTCATTTTCACTTTTCTCGAGTTTTCCGAAAGAAGTTGGGATGGTAGTGTCGGGGACAGGGTGAAATATTAATTAATCGGACGCAGCGTTTACTAATAATAAAATTTATTAACAACACCAACAAAACGAACAAACAGAAACAAGTGAAACCTCGTGGCGAGAAGAATAAAAATTAGAAATAGCCCGACCGAAATCGCAGAACAGAATGAATTAATGCCTCGGTTTCAAAATGTTTCTCAAGTCCCTTTCGAAAATAATCGCCAGTGACAATATGGTCGGGGTCATAAATATATTCACAGAAGAGTAATCACTCAGGCCGTTGTCTAATACATAAAAATCTTACCCATGTGGAGTCTGTCATTCTAAAATATCCATGTGTTTCTCGGCAATAAACCTCGATTCGAGAGAAGAGAATGATTTGCCATGAAAAAATATAAACATACTGAGTGAAAATAAAATGAAAGGAATTCACATGAAGAAACCCAAGAAGATGGACATTTTGTCCGACTGCTTGATAATAGTTATGAAAAGTTAATTTTCTAACAAAAAATTATAATACAAAATTAAAAATCACTAACGAAATAAATTGTCTCTTAGTTAGGTACATAGTTGTAGGAAAAACTCTACAGTAGTATTCAAAATCGGAAACATTTCTATCCAAATGGGACTGAAACTGATTCTGTTTCTGTAACAGCGATACATAATCTCTGTGACTTTTTTTGGATATACAGGGTGTAACATAATTACGTTAAAATATTCAAGTGGCGTATTCACGAGACAATTTGAAAATAATGACGTGAGAAGTCATAATTTCGTATCAATTTTCATGTATCATCTAGAAGGCGCTGCGCTGCGTACGCTGTCATCATTTGTTTCAAATAGCCCTAACTTTTTTGGTAGTAAACTTTTGGTACCTTTCATGAAGGAACCTAATTTCCACATGTAAAAAAGGTACACTACCCCAACAATACTGAAGGTGATCGTTTTCGAGATATTTACAATTTCCTATATCGATTCTATATTTTTGTTATATTGCCTGAAATGCAGCTGTCAAATCATGGTATCCCATCAGTCTTTTTCTGCCCTCTTCATATGTGGCAAACATTGTACGCTATTTTGGAATTTTGTTCAAACCACGACGAGTGGGATGGATGCAACAGATCGATTCGAAATTGCATTACGGCGACATTATTTTATATCGCAGTTGCGGGACATGATGGCAATATGAGATGTATTTCATGTGGCATTATCAAAATGGGTTTTTGATCTACCGCGTGATCGCATCATTATGCAAATACCATTAACAACAGTTTGTTATCGATTTCTATCAAAATATGAATAAGTTCATTTCAAAGATTCAAAAGTATCAACAAACCAAATGTCCGAGAATTTTTGGGTATGGAAATAATATTGAACAAAAATTATATTTTTTTACGATTATGAAAAGTAGAAATCGCCAAAAAGGTCAATAAAAATAAAAAGATACGGAGAGAAATGCGAGCATACATTTACAGTGGAGTATGCTCTGAAGAATAAGGAGAAAACTATCATATGTTGCCACTAACTTTAGCAGGAGATTTCAATATTGATTTCGCATCCGAAGATGGACAACTCTGGATGAACTTTTACGAGATAAATCATAACTACAAATGAATAATAACCTGAATGAGTCTACCAGAAGACATGGAACAACAATTCATGCATTTTTCTTTATATACATTTTCAATTTTTAATCGAAAACTTATGTATCTTATTTCTCATGCCATAAACCCATTGCCGTGGTCTTACAATC